CTTATGAATTTATTATCGCCTAGTACCAACCGTGGTCATGAGACAATGTGACGGGGTAAAAGCAAAGTATTTTTTGTAGACGCTAAACTAAGCGCGCTATCCTCATCTTATATGTGCTGATTTTGAGAAATTAAGAAAATAGTTATTAATGTATTAATTACGTTCAAAGATGTAGGTAAAGTAAATAATATTTAACTTTCAAAGTCTGAAATGAGACTTTTATTTAATTCTGCTTATCACGTCGGCAACGTTTACTAGTAAAGAGTATCCTATTTTCTTGATTCAGGTCTTCAAGTAACGGTGAGCCCATCTAAATCTGCTCAGCCGTTTTTGCTTACAAGAGTAATAAAGGGTCCCCAAGTTTCAAGTTTATAATGTAATCCAGTAACTATGTACAAAATCCCGTCTTTATAATAATGACTTAGTAAGATTGTTTTATAATAATACTTTATTGGCAGGTACAGAGTCCCATTATTGTAACAAAAAACGTAGCAATTCACAGAAAAAATATTACAGAGAAGATAATACACACAACAACCTTAATTTTAAATTACAATTTAATTAAAATCATAGGAGTAACAATGACAAGAACACAAAAACAAATGCACATTAAAGTTGTTAATAAAGCATAAAATTCAGCTTCAATACAATCATAAATAAAATACTTAACATCTAAATCATGTAACTCCAATTAAAAGAAATGTTATCTACTTATATTTAATAATAATAATGTAACATATAAAATCTCGTACTAGGGTTATTTACTGGTTAACAATTTATACATTTATTTAATTGCACGTCGTACTTATCACTAGAGTTCCAGATGTGTGTCTATTAAACAATTTGCTGTGTATAAGTTTTATCTTATTCCAGAGGAGTTCTGTTTAGAGGAAGTATTTAAAATTTTTGTAACAGCAGGCAATTGACGTGCATACCAGCCTGGTAAAAGTACGTTTATTTTACATATTTAACGAAATCCCAAACCCTCGCCCGAGTCGTTGCGTTTGCGCCTCTAGAATTTATTAAACTCTTATAGTGTTATGTTTGCCTGGTACTTGAAGTTTATGAAGCAAAATATGTGGGGGTAAGATGGCCCACCTCGCTACGAACAACAAATTCATTGTTATTGTAATTTGAAAAGTATTCCGTGATAAGTACTGCATGTTTAATAAAATTGCGGTAATAAAGGAACTATGTATTTATGGAGATTAATAAGTAATTAAATAATTATATCAGTAAGTAAATTAATCATATCACGTTAAAAAACCGAGATAGGAAAAATAATCCAATCTGGCAAAATACATGTCAGTCATACAAATTCAAAATGACGGGCATATTGTATGTACGCAAATTTTTTATTTACTTACGTTCACAGTTACTAAAACGATATAGAAATCAATAAAATAGTTTATTACACTCAAAAAATGTATTTTTTTTATGAAATTAAAATACATTTAGAATTTTACACAATTACAAAGGCACATCTAATTATTGGCTTGGTGTATTCGTGATGGTGTGTTGGTTCAGTTGGCTTCAGTATTGTTTTTTTAGCATAAATTATTGAGATTGTGATTGAAATTTGGATTCTGCAGATAATTGACATGCCGACTCTAACATAGGTACTTATTTACAGGTGAAATCTACTTTCTGTTGATGTCCATGGTCTAGTAGTAGCAACAGGAAGTTAAATTACCGATCGTTTAAGCCGAGAGCTATGCGGCACATTGTGCCGTAGCCGCGTGGTGGTGACAACAATTAATAATGTCATCTCCTACGTTGTAATGTTTGCCTAGTACTCAGCAATACGTGCGGACATTATGTGACGGGGTAAATAGAAACAAATACGCAATGGCTATGTTGAAGACGGTTTAGAATAAATTTAATCATTTATTTATCGAACCGGACACATTTAGCTAGAGCAAAATGTGTACAGGCAAGCTGTTTAATAAATTGTCTACCTAGCTACACGAAATGTTGTCAGACTAAAATTTTGCAACACGATTTCTGTAAAGATTACTTTTTACACCACCTACACATGTCTGTAAGCCTGGTGCTGAGCAACATTTGATAACAATGTGACGAGGTGATTGTGATGTAAAAAAAAACTGATTACTCCGACTGCTTGTCCGTCTTCTTTACGAAAGTTCCGATGTTTGATGCACCAAAAACCAATAAACCTAAACCAAGAGTGTATTTTAGGTATAGTAAGTAAGAAATTAAATAATAAAACTGTGTTTTTTGTAGACTTTCTAAATGAAATATTATTAAGAGAAAAATTAAAGAAAAGTTATCATCTGCCTACCCTTTTCCCAATTTTATTTGGGGTCGGCGCAGTATGTATGATTTTTCCATTCTACTCTGTCATGCGTCATCTCACTGTTTACTCCCTTCCTAGCCATATCCTCCCTGACGCAGTCCATCCACCTCTTCTTCGGTCTGCCTCTTCTCTTGTACCCTTCAACTTTCATACCTTTCTTCGCCACATTTTCCTCATCCCTCCGCATGACATGTCCATACCAAGATAACCTATTACTTCTTAAGTATATAATTAAATAGTTATTCCTTTTTTTTGTGGTTTCTTTTTCATCAAGTTTAGTAATCAAACACATACTCAAAGCAAAACATCTTTATTTGATATATTTTTGAAATAGTTTGAAATCGTCTCTTATGTAGACTCTCAACCAGGAATGCCCAAATTATTTTGGGCAAGAGACCCCTTTTTTTAAAAGAATTGATACCTTAGACCCCCATTGCCAAATTAATACACACCTGTCACTTTTTAAAAAGTACCATCGGGCCTTCATCTCACCGGGTTTTACGGCGGGGTGGTGTATCGGAATCGGACCGACTAAAACCACACGGTGGGCCACTTTGCGCCAGTAATAGGAGAGATCCGGGAACTGCTATTATTATCATTTAATTAATAGTCTATCATTTAATACATTAAAGATCATATACGGAGCTACTTATTTAGGTTCTATGTGCTATGGTGCACCTGTATGGGCCGATAGGGCGACCGTAGGCGCTGTCCGTCGCAAACTGTTACAAGGCCAACGACTTGCACTGATATTCTTGTGCAAGGCATTTAGGACGGTTAGCACTGAGGCTTTGCCGGTGTTGGCGGGTGTGCTTCGGGTCGATCTCGAGGTGCAGAGACGTGCAGCCATGTACTATTCGCGGTAAAATTACAAGATTGCTTCAACAGCAGTCCGATGTCTATAATGACCTCATAGACGAATGGCAACAAAGCTGGAATGAATCATCCAAGGGGCGCAATCTTTACCAATTCTTTCCATCTGTTCGCGAACGGTTGTCGAGGACATGGCTTGAGGTGGATCACTGTGTCGCTCAATTTCTTACGGGTCATGGTAACTTTAAGAGCAAGCTTTATTCATTGAAATTGGTCGAATCACCATTGTGTCAATGCTCAACACCTAACTCTCACTATGAACAGTCTGCTCATCATATCCTCTGGGAATGTAGTCTTTGGTATAATGAACGTAATATAATGCTGAATAGCTGGGGCGGTATACTATGGGGATCTTGTGTCAACTAGGGAGAATTTCCGTGCGTTGAGGCGATTCTGCCATACATATTATAGAAATCAAATATAGCTCACGTAGGGCCCGTAATATTTTGTGGCCGTGGTGCTTCCCGGTTTAAAAGGGTGTATGCCCATTTTACTTCATTTTGTCTCTCGCTTTGCTAAGGAGGGAAGTGGATTTAATATATTTCCAACTCCTCCAATTTTCTTCTGATTAATTTCGTTGCGGGTTCCAAGACAGTTTAATTTCTTCCTGGGACTTCCCGAGTGTCATAACTCGGTGTGTTCGTGGCTCACTGCTGTGGATCCTGGTGTACAGGAGTTACAGTGGTGGGCGTGTGGGTGGGATTAGTCACATTAAAAAAAAACTGCTATTATTAAGACATCCGGAACCCTCCTAGCGCCTGCCCGCAATGGCGCGAGCACTATCTTCGGGTACATTCTTCATTTAGGCGACGTCCGGCACACGCGGACGTCGCCATGGAGCGTACGACGGCCGGTAGCGAGAGGTGCCCAAGGACCCAATGAGTGCAATAAGGACCCGGCGCTGCGACGCCCAAGCCGGGCAAATTGCCAGCGTGTGCTAAGCCGAATCCTCACTGCAATCGCAGTAGTGACAGGTGGAAGTCAATTCCCTCCTAGCGAGCAAGTGAGGTTACCTTCCGAAGCAGCCGGAAGGAAAGGGTACACCGTACAGTGCCATTGACCGGACAACCCCTGTATACAGCCGTCTTGTTGCGACGCTGGGTCCACCCAGATTAGGCAAAAATCGCCCAAGAGCAGACGCAGCGCCGACGAGCTTTGGAGTAAGCTGTCGGGAGTGCCACCTCCCGTCGAGGATCAGGCCCAGATATTTCATCTGGGTCTGCACCGGTACGAGGACCGAGTTGACCACAATTGAGGCACCGGGGGAGAACCACGACGGGGCCTATGGAATAAGAGGGCTTCCGTCTTATCCAGTGACTTTTGGAATCTCTCCTCTAAACTTTAAAGGGTACATAAGAAACGATTGAAAACAGACTTTAGAGTCTAAAGTCATAGATCAACACGCACAATAGCAACAATCTGGACACATTGATCTCGAAATGAGTTATTTATCTTTTGGATACAAATTTCTATTTCTGGTATTTAAAGCAAGTACATCACTTCTTTTAAAGAAACTATCTTTGTTTTAAGGCTGGGAAGGTCGAACTTGTATACATTGCCCAAACATGACTGTCTACCAATAATCTTAACTGCAACCGTCTATTAGTCACTCTTATTAATATTTAAAACATACATTTAAGAAAAAATATATTTAAAAAGTAAAAATCATTTGAGGTGCTTGTTCCTTTTTAGTTTAAAATAAGCGAGAATTATAAGTAATCGCATCCTTAGAATGGGAAGATAAATTTAAAAAGTCCAGACTATAGTCCTCGTTAATAAACACTAAACTTTACGAAACTAAAAAAAATAATCAAAATCCAAAGAATTTATGACATTGATTTATTTCGTTGTTGTAAGTAGACGACACATCTCCGGACTCATCATGACGAGCCATAGATTTAATATTGCCGCTTAATATTTCCTCATATTCACTAACCAGTTTTAGTACGCCAAGCCGAGTTTTACGTGCCCTTTGTTCATTTACATCAATATTTCCTAAAATTTGTAGCCCAATTTTAATGTGACTCAACGCTTCTGTAAGATTTTCGATATTCATAGGTGCATCAAGAGGTAATGGATCCTGAACGTCTAATTCCTCGTTGGTACTGAATTCCTGCATTTCAATGAGTTCTTCAATTGTAGGATCCTTATTATGAGAATCAAGTAAGTTAGTAATATCTTTCCTGTTAACTTTCATGTCTAAATCTAGAGCCAAACTTATAATTTCTTCAATGATTTCTGAAATTGAATTAAATTCAGTACCTAACTCTGTTTCATTATATAAAAATGGGAAAAGGGTTTTCCAAGATTGTTTCCAATCGTTTTTATTTATATCAGTGCATGAATCCACAATGAGCCGAATAGCATCTAATATATTGAACTCCTTCCACAGATCTTCAGCTGTGATATTGTGATTTTGTCTAGAAGTTCCAACGAGATATTCGAAAACATGACGGGTGTAAATAGTTTTGAATTTATTTGAGATTTCCTGAATTGGCTGGCTTATGCTGGCATCTCCATGCGGTAGAAAGACAACTCTTACACGATGATCGAAATCTATGAGTGTTGCAGGAGAGTGACAATTTGCACTGTCTATAACCAAAAGAACTTTACAAGCAATATTGTTTGCATAACTGTAACGTTCAACTTCAGGAATGAAGTAGTTTCCAAACCAATCTTCGAATAAAAAAGCCGACATGCTAGCCGTTGGATTTGACTTCCATATAACGGGCAAACCACATTTGTGCTTTTTTTGAAGAGCTTTCGGATTTTCTTTGCGATATACCACAAGAGGTTTTAATTTTAAATCGCCCGCAGCATTTCCTCCTAACAACATTGTGAGGCGGTCTTTCGATTCGCTAAACTCACTTACGGTTTGACCTTGTCCCTTCAAATGACTGTTTTCGGGCATTTTCTTCCAATATAAGCCGACCTCGTCTACATTAAAAATCGTTTGCGGAGTATACAAACCTTTTTCAACTATTGTTTTTAAGTAGTCGGAGAATGTAGACTCAACAGAAATTTTTATATTTCTTCCTTTATTTGCCTCTTTTCTGTCTTTTTTAGATGTTGCTTCCGCTCTGTCGCTATCTCCCTCTTGATTTTCTTCCTCTTGAAATTCTGTTAGCATATTGCTTACACATCGACGTTTAAAGCGTAAATACCAGCCTTTACTAGCTGAAAAGGAATTATTTTTAGCCGCTTCTCCATAATCTCTTTTTAATTCTTCATAGATAATTTTAGCTTGTGTGCAAATATCATTCTGCGACAAATGTAAACTATGCCCAGCTTTTTCTTCGCACCATGATTTTAGTGCACACTCTGTTTGAGCAATAATGCCATGCCGTTTACGAATTATGGTAGAGGAATCAAGAAACGCTTCAGTTTTCGATGCAGCTATAATTCTTTTTTTGTCTTTTATAATAGAGCTTACAGTGGAGTTAGAAAGATTAAGGTTCTTAGATATTTGGTTAACTTTCTCACCATTTTCAAACATATTTATGATATCAACCTTTTTCTGTAAAGTTAACAATTTCCTTTTACGGATCCTTTCTTTTCCGAACATAGCTAACACACACTTATGAAGACCCCTAATTAAATGAAAGTATAGTTTATAGCCTCTAAGCAGCTTACAGAGACCGGCGCAACTGTAGTGCCGTAAATGGAGCTACAGTAAATGGCGGACACTTCACTTCGTTCAAATCGCGGGAAACGAGGCTACGCAAATTGAGGGTGCGGGCAGCAGTGGCAGTGTAACAACCAATAGCGTATGTCGAGGTCGCACTACGCCAGTCGAACATAGACGATAAGAAGTCAAGAATGTTTGACACAATAATACCGTCTTATGATGCGTAGTAGTTTTAGTAGTAAATAGTATCCTACGAAATAAAATAATATTAGACCAATATTTAATTTGTACTTAAATGATTGTTATTTTAAAAAACAGCCACTTAGAATATTGTTATACGTTAAGTTTGAGTATTTGTTCAAGCACAGAGTGTGTTTATGAAGGTAATATAGGCCGTTCAATATTATGTTATAATGGTTTTGTATATTCTAATTATATTTACGTCATCATTGTGAATAGTAGTGGTAGTAATATTTAATTAAAACATCGTATGTGTTATTATCATAATCTTCTAATTGTTTTGGATTGTCGTGGATTTTATTTAGCGACATCTCGTAGCGGTCAAATAAACTATTAAGACCATGTGACATCTATCGGGCATATCAGGCACTTCTTACGTAGTGAATTTTTTAAAACTAAGTTATTAATAATATTAGAATACGTAGTTATGTGTATAATAATATAATTTAATTTCTGGCTACAGGGAATTGGCGTAAGCCTGTAGTACTTAGTACCAATGATCCAATCCAATGAAGGCCAAAGAGCTCCATGGTCGGTTTTATCGGGCCCTAAATTGGTCCGATATAGACTTAAAAGCATCTAAAATCGTCTTGGCTACGGTTTGAGGATCTCTTTGGAGAAACGGAAGGTTTTGTTTGTGCGATAATAGAAGAAGTTATCATGACGAATAACTTTCGGCAATATATCCTGAAAATGGTACGGTTGACATTTGTCGGGTATACCACCCTTCTGGGGCATCAATCAGGCATATTATTTCTGGTTGTTCTCATCTGGCTAACGGTGAATATTTGCACAGGCACAACGAAGCAGCCAGGATCGAACACATACAGCTTGCCATTAAATACCAACTTGTGAATTTAGAGGTGCCATACTACAGGTATGTGCCCGACCCAGTTCTCGAGAATAGAGAGGCCACGTTGTAATGGGATCGATCTATTGTTACAGACAGGACTACTGCTGACAATAAGCCTGATATTGTGGTGATCAATTGCAGCGCCGCGCAATTATTGTTGATATCGCCGTTCTTCATGACAAGAATCTCGTGAAAGTTGAAAAAGAAAAACAAATACAATATTTGGATTTCCACACAACCATCCTCTTCTGCTATTCCCACTCACACTCACTCCTCGTTCCTAATCCAATCCGTACTCCTCTGGAACGCTCTTCTTCTAGAAATCATAATAGCACCCAGCCGCCACTCGTTCAAGATGAAAGTTCGAGCTCGCATTCTAGACACCCTTGCAGATTTATTACAATATTAAAGTTTTATACATTATTAACATGTAAGTTTATGTATGTATCATATGTATGTAACTAGGTGAGTATTTATGTATGTGTATGTATTTGGTACGTATGTTACATACATATTTATCGCGTTGTTTCTGTCTAACTTATCAATAGTTTTCTTTTACTTTACATATTATTGTCTAGTGCACCTAGTGACACATTTCAGCTCCACCCTAAGGTAGACTGGCAGAAAATGCCTGTGGCATTAAGTTCGCCATTGTACAACTCATACTTGTCCATAAAGGATTAAAATAAGAAATAAGATTGTCGATATGTGGAATAAGGATTTGGTGATCATTATTCCGATAGTTGTAACTGCTCACGGATTGATAGCCAAGAGCCTCGACCAACACCTTGTTGACAGTAGGTATATGGATTATGCTCAAAGGTAGGCAGGATATATATATCATCTATGAGACTGCAAAAGCGTGTAACAGAAATTAAATTTGCAATACAGCGTATTTACAAAAGTAGCAAAATGTAAATAGATGTTTAAATTTACATTACATCGGAGAAATTGATATATTTTTATCGCATTCCTTTAAAATATCATGCAAACGAATCAGAAACAAGATGAGTCGCAAAAATCTAGCCTATTAACCAAGATAATTAATTAATTCTTCCTCATATAGAATATAGAAAATATTGATACTTACGCGGTTTTGCATCCGGTTCTTAGACTGTAGACATATAATAATATTTCGGATATCTGACACTACGCCATCTAGTTTCAAACTAAGCAGAGCTTGTACTGTGACTGCTAGATTGACTGTTAGAATACTTATATATATTAGTAAATTATATTGATATTAAAATATACTGCGTTGTGAACACGAGTGTGCCAGCGGCAAATTATCTACTAATTCTTCGAATTGAAATTGAAAATTCCAATACTACGGGGTTTATTAAGTACTAGCTGACCCTGCAAACGTTGTTTTGCTATTTACATTATTTAAAATATATTTTTTTGCATTTCTTAAAATCCGTTCTTAGCTGACCTCCACTCGGTGAAAAGAATATTCCTACCAAATTTCAAGTCTTTAGCTCTAATGGTTCCAGAGATATCGTGATGAGTGACTATATACGTGGAAATCTCTTATACTTATATATATAGATTTATATACAGACTTACTTGGAGAACGGTAGTGTCATATCGTCGTAGGTTGTATTACAAGAGCAGAACCTTAGACAAACAGATGACATGGATATTGGTTTACAAACAGGCAATAACATGTCAACCACAAATCAAGGAAAACAAACCCTAAAAATAAAAATAAATGAAATATAAGCAATTAAAATGGAGATAAGACGGCAAAATAATATTGAGAGCTTCATTGGCTCTTTAATTTAAAATGTAAACAATGCTCTAACACCTTTAAAACATGTCTTCTATAATCATTGATGTAAGTATGCTATAAATTATTTTATTGCGTTAAAAGTGCGTCAATCAGTAATACAAAATTTGGCCTTACAGAAATTAAAGGAAATTGAGCAGTCGAATAAAAATGGGAACTGTGACTATTACACATCTAAAGAGATATCAAATTGTGAATTAAAGAGTAGATCGGTCTGTCGGACACAGTCTAGAGAACATACACCCTCCATTTTAACAAACAATGATGGTTGTGATTACCACCAAGAGTACCACACAGTCAAAGTTTGGGCAGGCAAGTTAAGATCGCTCAAATCTGAGCAAAGGCTGTATGCCGAAAAAGCGATATACGATGTATTATTTGAAGCACAGCTGGGAAACTTGAATAAATCCAGCGTGAAAATTAATAACAGAATTTTTCATACAAAACAGCCTCATTCCATATTTAATTCGTGTAATAATAACCCTTCAGAACGACCTATTGAGATAATTGATAACCATTTACCATCTTCTCAAAATGACGAACATGAAAATCGTTCGTCAGAAATTATTATTGCTGAGTCTTTTCCCACAGACATTGGTGCTCTTTCATCGGAGTGTCAAGTCACACTGGACGACATACCGGATTTAAACACTGATACTGGGCAGAAAAGACAGAAGAAATTCGTTGATATTGTGCCTTCATTAGTTCTTCCAGTTTCTTCAAGATCTCAGTCATGGCCATACGGTCAAACAGTTAGTGAAAACACTATCGACAAAAATGATAGTGAAGAAACTATAGACAAGAATGATTCTTTCTCTGGGACTATTGCCACAAATATGCCAGAACAAATACTGATACAATTGAGTAGGTATATAACGTACTTTTACAATTGTATTAGGAATTATGTATGAAGTCCTCAATAATTGCAATTTTTTTGTACATGTGAATCATATCTTTGTGCGGATGTCCAGTGACACGAAGAATACAATGCAAAGTTTCAACATTAAAGATTCTTCCGAAATTCTTCCGCTGTAACTGGTTATTTTATTACGTGGGTACCTACCTAGTAATTTTGTATCATAGCTTCGGTAACTATATATTTATTGTGGTTATGCTTTCTACCTACTGAACCAATTCTCACATTTTGCTTAGGTACACCGCAAATCCGTGTAGTAGTCGTAAGAGTTGACTAAGGTGGCTACAAAACTTATGGCAATATAAGCCTAGATTTGTGTTATATTTAAAGTACTCTGTTGGGTCTATTTTTTACAGATTCTGACAGTTATGTGAGTTCGATTCCCACCCAGGACAAATATTGTGTGATCAGCACGATCATTTGTTGTCTTACTAACATAGAATGTATGTATTTAACGGCCGATGCGCGCCAACTTGGTTTAGTGTGTGTAGACTGTTAGCACGGAATATAAATGTAGTTGTTACTTTTGTGCGATATCTACGGGGGATTACGTGAACGTTTGACAGCTGATTGCATAAAACTTTTAATTTTCGGGCAGATAATACCAATGATTTTCGACTCAGAATGATGGTCTGAATACACCATTTCAGTATTCGTTACACCATCCTTTACACCCATTTTTTTTTTTGCGTGCGGAAATCCCCTCGGATACCACCTATCAGTGGCATGTCGGACTCGAACCGACTAAAACCGCACGCCGTCTCGGGTACTAATAGCCGGGGAACCAGGTATACCCTAGAAAGGAAGTCCCTGGTGCCCCGACATACCTCGGACCATCTACAACAACAGGTAGACGACCCCCCCCGTGTGAGAACCCCATGTTCCCTCTGCTCCCTGGAAGCGAGCGCGCTTCGCAACGCGCTCGCCGCCACCCCTGCTTCTGCTAGGGTGACAGATGGCCTCACCTGTCACCCCCAGGCTTGCGCGTATGGAGGACGGAGGTCGTTAGGCGACCTTCGGCGCCTGAGTCGCCTGCGGTACCTGGCCCGTTCCCGGGCCTGGCGGGCCGGGAGAGTCCTAAACCTCTCCCGGTCCCGCTCCGCCGTCTCCTTCGCGAGCATAACTTGCTTGCAGAAGGAGACGGCAGAGTTCCACGCACTCTCGCTCACGATAGCCGCAATCAGACTATCGAGCGAGAGAACTCCTACTCCGATGGCCGCCACGAGGTCTCGCCTCTGCTCAACCCACGCCGGGCACTCTGCCAGCGTGTGGAGAGCCGTTGTCCACGGTCTGGCCATCGCAGTGGTGGCACTCAGGCGTTGGCTCCTTGCGGATCAGACACAGGTGATCCCTGAAACATCCTTTCCCAGTGATCACCTGCGTCAGTCGGTATGAGAGGGTCCTGTGACGCCTCTCGAGCCAATCCTCCATAACGGGTCTTACCGCCGCGATGACGGCGTGCCCGATCCTTTCTAATGGATTAGGTATATACAGGGTATACCTAATCCATTTGAAAGAAAAAGAATCAGAATGAAAGTTATCAAGTCTCAATTACAAAATGTTATGTTAATATTACTAATCACAAGTATATAATAAAAATTTCTACGTAAAGGATATCGACAGCTTTGTACGGGACTTGGGCCAAGGTGTGGGTATTTTAATTTTGAAATAAGAATATTACTATTTCGTAACTATATAGAAACCAATTATGTAATTAGTTTAGTGTCAAAATAGTTATGATAAAAAAAATATAAAACGTCTTGTTTTCTTGTAGGTACTTATTAATTTTCAGCTCCCAACTGATGTTGAAATCTGAACTATTTTATTATTAACTAAACTAACTTTATTTAACATTAATAAAATTCTATCTAAAAAACTTTAAATTGCATAGATTTTGTAGAAAACTAAACTGATGATGGTTACCCCGAAGCGAATGATTGACATGAGATAACAGATTGGTCCTAATGTTACCAACATATAAAAACAGAATAACCCAATACATTTGCCAATTTTGTTTAATAATTTCTTAAAAAGCACGTTATTTGTATTAATTTTACATTAAATATATTTTTAAAGTAAAATATAGTTTGTAAAATATTTTCGGAATGAAACTTTTATTCAGTATTGAGTATTATTGGGTTTCTTTTTCCACCGTTTTTGTAGTATGCAACACAGAGTTCCAAGGCCCAAATCTGTCGGTCTCCTTTCAAAATTCGTTTTCAAATGGTACAAACAGTCAATTTAGCTGCGAAAAAAATAAATTTTATAATGTGCACCAGGTTCATTGGTTTAAAAAAACAACTAAAAAAATTCCTTTTACTTTATTTTATTGCAACACAGCACATTGAAAACAAAACATCTTTATCATTCTTTACTATTTCTCCAGTATCTACTAAAGTTAATTGTGATTATCTGTTTGTTTCGTATTTGTTTTGCATGGTATTGCATTTACATAAACAAAAATCAACCTTATCATAATAGAATAAATTAGAAGATGCGAACTTCCTTAATACCTTAAAGCCCGTTGAGCGCTTAGATCATTTATGTCAAGAGAGTGTAAAATTAATGAGCCAACATTATTATGCTGGTGTGCCTGTAAATTGAGCGTTTACAGGGAAAGCTGACACACACAGCGACAGCTGAAAGGATGTAGTGGCCAACAGTTGGACACAATTTTTTTAGCCGCTTTGACAGTTCATCTAGATATAACAATGATCTAAGGTAGCCATGTCTACTGGTAACAAGCGAATACTAGTGCAGTTCGCCAAAGTTTCTATTTTTGTTCATTATAAGGTGGTAAATACATATCCGTGTACCATGCTACCATTGTTATACAATGATGTAACAATTAAGAAAGTGAGATGATGTGTTTGTGAAGGCATGCAGTCACGGTTCAATTAAAAACAAAATAAAACAAGAAATTCCACATCATCCTTGCAGTTAAAAAAAAGTATTCCACAATTTTATATACCACAAAGTGACACAAAATATTGATTGCTCTTATTGTCCCAATAAGACAAGAGGACAAGAGAATAACTGTCGTTACCAGAAACCGAAACTCTATGCCGAGTTTGATGTTTCGTACCCAAAAAAGGCCATATTTGTTTTAAATAAAATTAAAAACATTAATTCTTAATAAAAAAGGAAATGCGGAAATTTTCTAGCTACACTAGCTCGGCACAGCCACATTACCAAAAAAACTATTTATTTTCCAATACAAGAGGTGAATAAATAACTGTATGATAATCAGTCTAATAATATTTCAGTTATTTTTTTAAATATTTATTTTTAAATTATTGCCTGTAGTGTGTCTGTGCCCTTACATCTCTCCTCATTTACACATTATACTAAAAAGTCTTTTATCAGTCATATAACTGCTTGCCTTCACATGTAATTTTAAAAGTTAATTTTATAACAAATATATGTACATATTTATTTAATAATTACTTACACTTAAAATTGATGAATCGATGAATCAAACTAAGTATATATAACTTATGACTGTTCTCTGTGGTTTTTTTACAAAAACATGACTATTCAAACTGTAACTAAAAGATGCAAGTAGACAAAACGGGGTAAGGATTCCTAAGCAAATATCAACATTAACCCGAAAAGATAATATGAAAACCTACAATAAGATGCAATTGCTTACCACAATTTTGTTTTCATTCACTCATTACTTTGTACAGTTATTCAGAAAAACAATTCTTAAGAGTTTGTCATTGAAAAATAAACTGGCCGGTGAGGTACAGGTTAATAGTAAAAGAAGGAATTCGATAAAACAAAAATAGTGCTTACATCAAGATTAAATTCATTTGCTACAGATTATATACATATTTTCAGCACACAGTGTGTTAAAAAGAAACATTATAAAATAAATGACGTGCCAGTGCTTGCTCCTTTAGAAATACATAAACTTAAAAACATTCGAATGATCCACAAAAAAGGGACTCATCACTGTATTGGCACAAAAAAATTAAAAGCAATTTGCATTCTGTGCACTGATTATATGCTCAGCAGTATTCATTCCTATATTTAAACATTAACTATATACAGAGTGATTCAATTCCAATGTTTAACATTGGAATTGTAGGTATAATTATCTTAAAGACCTTGGTATATTTTGGGACAATATAATGCCAAATAACAGACTATCTGGGATGGTTAAGTGGATGAGCAGTAGTATTTATATTCTGTATGTGCTTTAGTTATGTAAAAACAATATTGGTCAAGCATAAACTTGTGTGGGGTCATTTCCGCATTGCTAATGTATATAAGTACCATTAATTAACTGTTATCTAAAGTAACATCAAAGCTGAATTTATAATAAAACCAAGACATGCACATATCAGATCAATAAAGTTTAGAACTCTTACTGCCAATCACCACATATTAACATTTGACCAATAATAATTTACAATGAGCCAAAGGAAAAATCTCTTTATGATTTTCTTTGGTACCAAAATACTACTACTACTAACTCCTAGCTCATCACCAACACAACAATAAATGTAACTTTTTAAGAGCTTAATTTATCTGAAATGGTTTTGAATGCAATTTTAAAATACCCATATCACAATTCACATTATTGCCCGAGCCTTGCTTCATTTGCATTGCAAACTTTTAAAAGTAAAGTGAATTATATAAGTATCAGGCTGTCAGAATGAGGAGTGTGATACAAACAACTTTACGCCATTACAGTACAGTATTTAAAAAGGTAGCTGTTAACTAGCATGTGGCACATTCATAATCCATTTTAATATTGGTTCCATGGAACATTGTCTATAGCATGTTTCTTTAGTTTATGCTTCTTCAGATATTTAGAATCTATGAATGCCTCTCCGCACAAAGAACAAACATATGGCCTTTCTCCAGTGTGAGTTCGCAAATGTACAACTAAATTACCTTTTAAAGCAAAAAATTTCATACAAACTGAACAACCAAACTTCTTTTCTCTTGTATGAGTCAATTGGTGAGTCCGTAAATGAGTTTTAGTCTTGAACCGAAGAGAACAAAGTTGGCAAGGGAACGGCCGCTCATTAGTGTGGACTCTTTCATGCATTAATAACATAGCCTGGCTTGAGCATCCCTTACCGCAAATGCTACATTCAAATCTCTTTGCATTCTTTGCTTTCATATTTTTATGTGTTGCAATGTGAGCTTGCATGTCTCTCTTATTTGGTAGTACTTCACCACATTCTGAACAAAGTAGGTCTGTTGGGTCCACAATATGTGTGCTTTCAACATGTTGTTCTAAGGCAGATTCAACGGAAAACATTTTCTTGCATAAAGAACAAGCATATCCTAAAAGTTTACCCAGGTTTGTGGTAATTTCTTGCTTGACGGTCTTCATTAGTTCTTCTTTAACTTTAATCACTTTGGATTTAGTACACTCATTGGACTCTTTGTGTGCAGTCAAGTTACTCTTAGTCTGGAACGTTTTTTCACATTGATTGCATGAATATGGATGCATGTGAGTCAATCTATGTGTCTGCATGGTTATTTTCTGGTGGAATCTTTTAAAACAAATATCACACTCAAATTCTCTAATACCACTATGGATCATCATATGACGTTTTAAGTTATTTGGATTAGCAAATGTCTTTAAGCAAACATTACAGCGTGGTTTTATATTATTGTGTCCATACTTGATATGTTGTGTTAATGCATTACGTCTTATGAGCTGATTACAGAATGGACAATTAATTAAAAGTCCGCTACTGCTGTGCAGTAACATGTGTCCAGTTAAAATCTCAGTTGATTCAAATCCTTTGCCACATAGACTGCACAAATGTTCTCCAGCAGGATTGTGCTTATATTGATGTTTCTCATAGTCAGCCAAATCCTCAAACTGTTCACCACAGTCACATAAAAATGTACCGTCTTCTTGTTGAAGAACTGTTGATATGTGTCCTTCATCTGCATATTCTATTACCAATTCTGACCCATCATACTTTAGTATTTGAAACTGAGAGGTGTCATCTCCTTCACAGAATATTACTTCTTGGGACATGGCATCTTCATCTTCGTCTTCATTTGTAACCAGCTGTGTGTCAGTCAAATATTGAATCCTGTCATTATTCTTAAGAAGAATTGTTCCATTAGAGTCAGTAGTTGTGAGTATTTTAATATAATTTTTGTTTCCAAGATCTTTTATATCATCAGCAGATATTGTCTCGATAATCTGATTGTCTTGTGCATTCACAATGTGTGCTAAAGTTGGATCTTGAGAAGTACTGTCTTGTGTTTCATCAATATTCATGGCACCATCTAATTCATCTGTTTCCTGGCTTTCTTCCTCATTTTCTAAAATGGTAGCTGGCACATTTGCTGGCACTTTTGTATTGGACATTAAGAATGCATCAATTGAATCTTCAAACTGATTCTGTGGAATACTTTTTGTTTCTACTGGTTGATAAGTAATAGAAGGTATGCCTTCGGAATATTCCCTTTCGACTTTTATCTTATTTTCTAGCATAACATCTTGGAGTTTTTCTCCACTACTCTTTTCTTTCGGGTCATCGATTACCAAAACATAATAATAATCATCATCACTTTCAGGCTCTTTTTTTATAATAGATTCTAACTGTTTGTCGGGATCATTCGCAATATCATCATCATCGTCAATAGCTTCACTTGAATTCGGAAGGGTATCCTGATGCTTTTCTGAAACAGGTTGTTCTTGTTCCAATAGAGCACTAAGTTGTAATTTCAACTCGCTATCCATTTTGATGCACTGTTTTCGGAAATGATGAGCAGAAATCATGATACTGAAACAGTCATTACACAACTTCTGTGGTAGACCATCATCTTCTCTAACCTGTAAATTGCAATAAAATATATTTAGTCATCTGCATATACAGGGAATTACAGAAAGATGATCATATTTTATATCATTGAGTGTAATTGACAAACAGTTAAAAAAATGGATTTATGATACCCTTTAAAAAAAAAATTAGCGCACATGTAATTTCTTTCTTCAAATTAAAATTTCAGTCTAATTTCAATGATTTTTAATTTTGAAAAAAGACTTTTTGGAAAAATATGGTCATTAAGAAGTTAAGAAAGATAAACAAAATGAAATGGTTTATATAGGAGTCAGGTTTTAATCACTTCAGCCAGGCACACTCTACACATTACTGACTGCAGTTATAGCACTGGTTTCTATTCAACCCATACTTAAGATTAGTTTAAGTCAAATGATAATACTTATAATAATTAGTTTGAAGATTCAAACTTTTCTAAGGAGAAGCCTATGTTAAGACCGTGGAATATTAAAGGCTGTTAATGTAATTTAATTTTTTATCAGATTAAATTAATCAATCCTATAATACTAGGTTAAACCTAGAGTTGTTACCCATGTGAAAAGATGATTCAACATTAATATTATTGAACGGGAATTAACACGATCTCTTATTTAGGGTATTACATACCTCTGGTTTGCCTGACGTTTCGACCAGGTTGCACCGGCCGTGGTCACAGTCAGCCTGTGACCACGGCCGGTGCAACCTGGTCGAAATGTAACCCTAAATAAGAGATCGCGTTAATTCCCGTTCAATAATATTAATTATCATGGAACGCGAAAGTTTAAAAGTTAGTATGATTCAACATTTTGGTCATGGATACCAGAAGGCCAATTCTCGTAATGAAAGTTCGGTTATGATAGTTTTGAGATCGAAAATTGATCAGAACTGAATTGAGACCAAACTTTCATTACGAGAATTGGCCACATAACAAACATATAATATAAAAATCGAAAACAAAAAACATAAAAAGAGTAAACATTACATGTTTAGTAGGGGCTAAAATAGATGTGAGATTATTTGAGTTAAGTGTTTCAGTATTTTCATGAAAATAAGTGAATAATACAAAGACTACATGCATTTGTAAATTGAAGACGAGAACAATAGTGAAAATGCATTTTTTTTTTTTAATAAATATGCAATTAATTGATATACCTCTTTTGAGTTCCTTGAACTAGAGAAAATTAGTTTGTTTTGAAAAACACAAAGCAACAGTATCAAGCTTAATACTTCATAGAAAATAATAATTATAGTTTTATGGTCCTACTAAAATTATTCTATCAAATATTATTACTTTTCTAATTAATCAACTTTCGCGGCGTTTCTAAACTTCAACGTTGAGGTTATGTTTGATGTCAATAATTTTATTCAGGAAATGACAGTATGCAATGACATTTTATCAGTAAAATACATAGGTATATCGCGAGTCTCCTATTTCCTTGTTTAAGAAGCGGGATTTAACGTACCTCTATTGTAGTGATCTCAAGAAACTTTTCATTAACATTTTGTTCTGTATCTAATAATGACACTTCACAATTGGCAGACAAACAACACCGACAGAGATCGGACCACGTATCCATTTCATTAGACGCACATAATTATCCACCCAGTAAAATCTGGAAAATATAATAAAAACATTAGGGAAATGCATTGTTTTGACAGTTAGTTATCAAAGACCAAACTAAAAGGTTTCCAAAGAGTAAAAATTATCTACGGACCATGCCCATAAAGACGATCTATTCCAAATTATAGACAAGAGACGAGCGTACAAAATGGAGGCAACTACAACGACGGACATAACGTCACCTCAAGAAAGTTTTTTGACACTAAAGATGGCGCTGTTCTTGGGAGAATAGAGCTTGTTCCGGTCAATAAGAAAGCTTTTAAAAGTAGAATTTGTTGTGGAATATAAGAATGCTGTGCTTCACATCACATAATAATAAAAAGATAAATTTTATTTGTAAGTATAATGGTTTATATGTTTTGATTTGGTTACATACTTGTGTATATAAAATTACTTCTTTTGCAACGTAAATGACATTGACAGGAGGGAGCAATTTCAACTTAAAGGTTGCCAGTTAATAAAATCCCCTAATTTATAGGGAATATTTCATATTTTGTTTTGAATATTTTAAAGAGGGAAATCTGATTTGAATTTGAATGATCAACGGTAAATAGTGCAAAATGAAACTTTCCTTTTTAATTCAATTATTTGCGACTCATGCGCTTTAAACAAATATTGACATAAAAAAATTGTAACACAAAAGTAATCCTTTCGAGACATTTTGGGACCAGACATTTTAAATAAATGTTCATTGTTTTAAATATAAAGTAAATTATTATACAGGTGTGAAAGTAAAAAGGGTCGGAAAACCGGGAACGAAATACAAAAAACATGGCAACGTTGAAATGATAACTGTACCAGTATCAAAGGAGTCCGCGTTTGGAAAAAATCGCGATCCCTAGGGATCGCGATTTTTTCCAAAAACCTCAATTGAATTGATTGGAATCGTAACCTGATAAATAGATTATTTATAAAATGATTTTTTAAAAATCGTTTTTTTCGAGTTTGCTTTTAAACGTAAACCAATTAATGAAACTATTGTATTGAAAACAAGAAAGGAACAACAATAACCAGTCTCTTTTCTATACTAATATTATAAAGCTAAAGAGTTTGATTGTATGTTTAGTTTAACGCGTTGATCTCAAGAACTACTGTTTCCAATGGAAAAATGTTTTAGTATTGAATAATCCATTTATCGAGGAAGTCTATACGCCATAAATGTAAACTTTTTTTTTACATGTGTTGAGTACCATGGAGAAACCCCAACGGGGCACTCGGTATTCATTCGCCGTGATGAACTCTTATTAGGCATGTAAGGCTGGTTTCGATTTAAGTTCTGGCTTCTCTACTTTTGCATATTCTCTTAGAGTATTAAACGAAACGGAGTGGACGCTCGCTGTCTTTACTTTACAAGTCTTTCTGCCGTTTTCAATTAATATTGTACTGAAATATCAATATCGATGTTGTGATTGTGCGTAGGAAGCGGCGTGGCGACCACTTAAACCACTACGCCATCCGTGCAGTCTTTATATAACGTCTTGGATCGGCGCTCATACTAATTTGACAGAGGGTAAGCGTGTATTCGCATCTCCATTTGTTTTAATGCTCTTGTATATTCTCCGTGTTGAGTACATTCAACTAACTGTAAATTATTTTATCGTTTTTATCAAAAGAGAAAAAATGGAATGCCGATTTTATAGGATTAAATATCGCTTCACTGAATCGATTCAGTACTAATTAAAAGATCGATTTGGGCTTGAGAAACCGATTCTTCGATTAATCGATCTTAGATCGCCGCCTCCAGTTTGCGCAAAGTTACGAATTAGGGTGGCTCTATAGTGAAACCGGGGTTTAAAGTTTAAAGAACGCACCAATAGTAGAATAGAGAATAAGGCCATATTAATAAAACTTATTTTGGATTAAGTAAGTAGTTGAGGTTTCGTATATTGTACGGTCGCTATCTTTTGTAAAATACTAGCGATCCGCCCCGGCGTCGCACGGGTGCTATGTAAATATACCTACTAACCTAGTGTCAGTGTGAAGTAATTAATTACACTATATAGATAGATGGATTGGATATTTTGGATATCTTGGATAATATAGATCATAACCTTTGGTTAACATCAGCACTTGTTCGTTTTGAATATTAATGACTCTATTTTGACTAATTGATGTATAACATCTTTCCTGTTATTCCTCACTTTTTACAAAATCACTTACAGTTTTACATTTTCAGCAGCTTGCCTGCAACCTGTAAGAGTAATTTTGTAAAAAGAGGTGGAAGTGGTTAGGGTCGGAAGTAAAAGCCGTATAGAATTTGTGTTAGAAATAACTATTTTTGTTACCGAAAATCATTTCAAATATTTAAAATCATTTTAGGATATATAATGGTAATTTTGCTTATTCCTAAGGTGTGATGTTAGACGTTCCATCACATCACATTATAAATCTCGTTCGTTTTTTTTTTATAATTTTTGCTTGTCACTTCTTCGGTAAGCGGCTCATACAGGACCGTGCTCCTTATATACACTTACTATATAATCCTTGTCTCATTATAAGATAATAATTACTGTTTTGTTTTCTATGATTGGTGCTTTTCTATGAAGGTATTTAAATAACTTTATTTTTACCAATATCTGTCAGTAAAATATTTTTACAACAATTGAGATCTATCCCCCCACGCTTTTTCACGATGAAATGATTTTTATTTTTGAACCTATAGAAAATTATTTCCTACTTTTTAGTTCGGTTAGTTACAAAAGCATGTTTTTTTACTATTTTTAAACTATAATTTCTAATGTTTATATATTCCATAATTTTCGCAATAAGAAAGGTTAAGGTTAGGGTTTATGTTTATTGTGTCAGTTGAATAGAGAAAAGAAATAACGAGGAAGTTCTACTAATGGTAAATGAAGAGGGAATTTTCAAATGGTATTGAAAACAGAAGAGGCAAAATGGTTGGCCACTTGATAACACATGACAACTTCTTTACAACAATACTGGAAAGAAAAATAGAAGGCAAAAGAAAACGAGGAAGGCCAAGATCAACGTAGGTACACACAGCGAGTAAAGGAGAAAGTGGGGATCGCGGTCTATCAAAGGGTCAATCGCAGAAAATAGAGAGGCTTGGCGATTGGCCACCGACACGGCCTGGGCCTACAATTAAAATGTTATTTACAAACAGTCATTAAAATGTTGTTTCTATAACTAAACAATATATGTTGTACTAAAGTTTTCGTCAAATGGGTCTTTTAGTATGTGCTATCGTAGCAACAAAATCCTTTTAAAAGTAATTTACGTAGAACTAAGTTATTAAAGTTAGATTAAGTGCTGTTAACCTTAAATGTTGTTTTAATTAATATCTATACTAACTTTTGAACTTTCGTGTTCTGAAATACATATTTACCTTACAGTAACCGCTCTCCTTAAAGTGACTGGCGATATTAGAAAAGGAATCGAAGACATTAAAGTCACGGTATTCTCTGTTCTCTAATGCCTTTAATACAGTCAACCACGAAAACCAGCTATCTATCCTTATCTGCCTTATGGTTCCTTCTGAGACACTGGAATGGTTCTCCACCAATCTTTCAAGTTGGTGCGACCTCTATCCACACGGTGTGTGTGTGTGGCCATCGTTCCACACGGCAAAATGTTCATCCTCATCACCTGAATAGTTGCTCCACTACTGTGCGCTTTTCGAGACACTTTTGCCCAACCAAACTGTGGAACGGGTTATCGTCTGTGGTATTACCGGACCTATACGACCTTCAAACCTTCAAGAAAAGAGCGTACTCCTTCCTAAAAGACCGGCAATGTGTTTGTTACTTCTAAGTTGCCTCCTGAGTGTTGCCTTCTAAGTTGTCTGCTCGTCTGCCCCTCTAACATAAAAAAACCTCCAAAAAAACAATCCACTCAAAATTTCAAAATCGCCTCGGAAATTTAGTTGTAATTTTGTAAATTTTACGCTAACATGTCGCATAACAAATGTCGTTCAAAAATAGGTGAGACATTGATACCTTTTTTTAGTCGAGTATTTATTATATAAGTGGCTAAAAGATCTCCCAACGTCTTAAAAGATATTATTTATATTTGTTTTCATCGAAAGAAACAAAGTTTGTTCAAAGTACTTGATAATGAGCTATGATTATTTAAATATTTAGACTAGGTTTATAAAACCGGAAAACCGTAAACGTTTACGAAAAGTATTTTAGAACGTTTAGTTTATGACGTTATCATCTGGTGTGTTGTTGCCAAATTGACCAGACATAATTATTCAGAAATTGATACATTGCAGTTCAGCCGAAAACGTTCATGGTACAAATTGAAAACCTGTCAGGTTACCTGTAAAGTTGAGCTGCTCTGAACTTGGCAGTTATTCGAAAAGTTCATGGTAGGCCCCCTGGCACTTATAATTTAAGCCGTCCAACTTACCAACAAAAACTGCTCAAAGGTGAACTTTAAATACCATAAACCGGGAATAATTTTATAATTAACTTGATAAATTGAAATTTTGAAAATTGGGCTTAGGATAAGTCGCTACTATACGCAACTGTAGCCTAGACCTGTCTAGATACTCTATTACGACTAGAAATTTAGCGGGTCCTGTTTTTTTTCTATATACCCTATATTCAAAACTAAATAACTTCAATTTTGGTCAGAAATTTTTAGGTATTCTTCTACTACCTACCTACAGATTTCTACTTTACTGCCTCTATAAATGTTGATATTTCTCGTAGGTAATTACAAAGTTTTACTAATATAATATCTTTTACACTCGTAGATGTGATTGGTGGAATGATAGATTAGCCGAACTACGTAGAAGCTACCGGAAAGCTCGTAGAAAATTAAACACTATTAAAAAACATAACGTAACAGGAGATTTGTACAACAATGCTCTCATTGCTCTTAGAGTTGCCAGGTCCCACTACAGAGCTGCTGTGGAAAAATCCAAGGGAAACTTAATTCAGAAACTTGTTGATAAACTCGATAGAGAGGGCCCGTGGTCACCTTTGTATCACGAATTTAAGGCAAATAGATCAATCGACCTTGCATACATACAGAACATCAAAATTAATAACAGATATACCACAGGAGTAGAACAAACAGCAGAATATCTTTTAGACTCACTCGTACCTGACGATCGACCGGAAAACGACA